CACCGCTGACCTTTGGGCCTTCCCAGCACGGATCCGTAAAACAGACTGGTGTGAACCCTTCTTGTGAACTCTAGACCTCCAGTTGGACTCATGGGAGGCATTGTCATGGGCTCTAGGTTTTCATCTGGACTCATGCAGGACACTGCTGTGGGTTTCAGGCCCTTGGCTGAATATTCTGAGTCTTTAGTATTGTGGACAGATTTCCTGCATTTTCTTGTGTTTTACTCTGGGTGATCATCATAAAATAATATTATACATTCTGAGTCCTGATTCTAATCATGCCCTCTCAATCCTGACTACAACTGTGCCTATAGTTGTCCTGAGTTCTTCCAGAGGTAGTAGTTGATGTCATCTGTTAAATTAACAAGGTGGAAAAATTTCTTGCCATATTTTTAAGAAAATCTTTAGCACCCTATCTTTGAACCCCTGGATTCTTAACCCAGAGGTCACAGCAGGAAAGAAGAACACGCACTTCGATGTGACAGGAGACAGTGGCAGGAGGGGGAAAGTTCCTTTGCACAGGTAAGCATTCGGAAGTCTTCCTTGAGCTCCAGACCCTTCCCTAGACCAAGATGAAATACAGACTTTCCTTATTCAGTGACAGAGTGCAGTCCCAGGGACTAGGCCTTTAAATGAATTTGTCCCTACATGAGGAATTGTATATGATATATACAACATTCAGAAAAAAGAAATGGCCAAAGAAATCTCCAGCTTGATAACCTTGCATTTATTTGCACAACTCTTGCACACATTACTGTAATGAACATAAAACTAGTATTGTACCATACAGTCAACAAAAATTACTGTATAAACAAGGTGCACTACATAAAAACAAAACAAAACAGGCTTTACAAACAAGCCCCTCATTAAAAAAAAGAAAGGAACAACACACTTTGGTCATAGGTCTGAACAGTCGCTAAACATGTAGGTCATGAAATAGGGAATATCTGTATCACAATCTCTGAACAATTCATGGTACAGGTCACTCGATTTACTGCAGATTTACTGAATCCCTGAGTGTATGCTGCATCTGGACAACATGGAGAAACAGAACCGAAGATCTGTGGTCAGGAAGGAACAGAGAAACAAGAGTAGAAATCTCCCCCGAGATAAAAGCAGGGAAACTACAGTAGATATCAGTGTGCACGGAAGCCCATGCTCCGCGGAAACTGGGAGGCAAGCATTTAACTTGATAGCGATCAGATGGAACAGGTTGACACCAAAACACTGTCCTGCACTGTTGCAGTAACCCCTCTGAGTCCTGCGAACAAGGGAGGCGGCCTGGCCTGGAGACGGAGAGACCCAGTCCACGCCCAGCCCTTCCATGGCTGGGGCAGAGGACTGCTGTTTGTTGATACCACCTTGTAATTCAATTCTTATTTTTTAACTGTGTGGGAGAAGCAGCTCAGCAATCTGGATAATATTGTGGCTTCTGATGCTAAAATTTGTCAGGGCTTAAATCCAACTTCACTATAGTGGCTTTTTTTTTTTTTTTTTTTTTTTTTTTTACCCTGGCATGTTATTTCCTTCATAAAGTGTTTGTTAAATGTAGAGCTACTATGTGAATCACTTGAATTTAGCATATAGTATATACACTGTCCCCTCTAGTTACATTACTGTGATAAAAGATAAGTGTGATTACAAGCCTTTTCCACAACATCTCAAATGTGTAAAAATAAATGCAGCAATGATGAAGCTCAGACGGCCAGGACCACGCTTCATTTTCCTCTATAATTTCAAGCTATTCTCCAGGCCTGCTGGTGGAAAATTTAACTCCTGACTCTTGCAGCTTCCTCCATTTTCCCTGAGGTTGTCTCAGGTGTCAAGTGCCGGGCACATGAGGGCGGGAGGCAGCCTCTGGTCCTCTGCCCACGCAGCATGAGCCCCACGGCTGCTGTGCCAGATGTGGCCATAGGAATCTGCCCTGCCTCACCACCAGCGCCGCCCCCCTCACACTTCCCAGACTCTGCCCCGTTCCCCACAGGATGGGGCCTCTTCTGGCTCATGGGATAAGCTCTCCTCTCTTCCCTGGCTTCTTGCAAACATTTTATCTGAACCACGAGTTCCCTCGGATTCCATAAGGAGGCTGGTGTTTGAACCTAAAATCCAGAGAGGCGCCAATGCTGTCTGCTTTTCTCCCAGCCCCAGGCACGACCCTGCCAAGGTCACATGTTTTTCTCAGAGACAGCTCTGCTGGAAAGGAAGGCAGAGAAGAAATGCTGGGATTTATGACCTCAAAAAATTCCTGAATATTTATAGCCATGCAATTTGCTCTGAGATGAGGCCCTCCAGGACCCTGAGGTTTGTCAAATTGTCTATGAGGATTTCTGTCTGTATCTGACCCAGGGGGAGGAACAGGGCTGTCCAAGGTGGAGGTGGTTGCTTCCCTGACTGAGGCCTCTGGCAGAAACAGCTCCTGAACTGAGTCTGCTGTACCACAGGTGGGGAGGTGGACAGTCACTCAGCCCACCGGGAAGGTACCAGTGAAGGTCGTGACGTTGTGTGTTGTCAGATCTTCCACACAAGCTCCGAAGAAAACTGATCGCAGTGTCCTGCAGAGAATGGGCTAAACACACAAGACACTCATACAAAAGGATGGTTCCCAGCCTTCACTGGGGCCTGAGCCAGGCCGGGCAGAACATCCACCTGCAGTGCCAGACTGCATCCTTCCAGTCACCCTGGGAAGCAGACAGCATCATCGCTGCTGGGGTTTATCTGTGTGGGAGGTGAAGTTGTTCCATGTAAGTTTGCCAAGCGCTGCAATTGCAGCTGTTTCTGAGCTCATAGGCAGCAGGGACTTCACCAAGAACTGCCCAGTAAGAAGTGACCACTGGGGCTGGGGATTTAGCTCAGCGGCATAAGCGCCTGCCTTGCAAGCAGGCAGTCGTGAGTTCGATCCCCAGTACCGATAAGGAAAAAGACAAAAAAAAAAAAAGAAGTGACCAGACATGCATCATCCTGCCTCTACCCTCCGGCCAGTGAGCAGCAATGCGGGCCTCCTGACACAGGGCTTCTATTCGCTAGGCTGACTGGCCTCTTGGGTATCTGGAGCTAAAATTCAGGAATAGACAACAAGTTCTAAGAAACGACATGGGCCTCACAAACACCAAAACAGCAAACGATCTATGGAAGACCATGTGGTGTTGAAAGAAAAATAACATAAACCAGTGGAGACATCAAAAAACAGAAGCAAGGAGTAGACTTATTTATAAGAATTGTATGACACCATTTCCTGATCATTTTGAAATAGTTAAAGAAACAGCCTGATCAATAAATAGCCTGCAGCCATCTGGCTCTCCACTTAAAGTGGAACACAGATGTTTTACACCGCTTCTAGATGAAGAGTGTTTATTGATTTGGGTATGGTGCCATACTCGTTTTTCAATCAGATTTTATTGGGACATTTTAGATATACATAATGGTCACATCCACCACAGAGAATGTGTACCTGACTCTAACCTGTACATGTAAAACTTGATTTCTTTTTCTTCCCATTTCTCTATTCTCCCTTCAGCCCTTCCCTATTTACAAAAGTTTGTTTCCATTTTTCTTCTTTTCTTGTGAGTTATTTATTTGCTTTTTATCTTTTTGAGACAAAGTTTCACTGTGCAGTTCAGGTTGGCCTTGCACTCACCTTGTCTCCCAGGCTGGTCTCAAACTCACAGCAGTTCTCCTGCCTCAGCCTCCCGAATATTGGGATTACAGTCCTGTGGAATTTTTTTTAACTTTCCCCTTTTTTCTTTTCTCGCTTCCTCTTCCCTTTTTTCCCTCCCCATTTGAACAGTTTCTTCCTATTTCACAATATCTATTACATCTTTTGGTCCTTATTTTATACTTTCAGTTTCTCACACCACAGAAACAATGTGGTATTTACACATGTGTGTCTGATTTATTTCACTTAAAAGGCCATAATCTTGTAATCCCAGATGCTCAGGAAGTTGAGGCAGGAGGATTGCAAGTTTGAGGCCAGCCTGAGGAACTAAGACCTTGTCTCAAAATAAATAACCAAAAAAAAAGGAAATTAAGATGTAGCCCGGTGGCAAAGTGCCCCTAGGTTTATACCCCAGCACCACAAAAAATATTCATTTGCTAAGAATAAATTCTCCATAGAGTTAACCATAAATACAAAGCACTAAAAATATCCTTATAATCTTAGCTTTCCTAGACATACAAAATCCAAAATGGTAAAGTGCAAAATTGACGGCTTGTATCTAAAAACTAAAATGGTGATTCTTTCTCAGTCTACACTGTTTGGATTTTACTAATGGAAGCTTACTAAGGGAACAATGGTGGTTTACAAAATTGAAGAAACACTGAGAATCTTGGCGAGACCTTTGTGCCATGACTTTTAATTTCATGAATAAATTCTAAGCTCCCTGTCTGTACTTTGTGCAGCTATTAATCAAAAATGGAGACTCTTCCTGCCGGGCTTAGCATCACCCTGTGCAGGCGCCCAGGCCCGGCCCCTGCCCACATTTGCGGAGAGTCTGGCTGTGGCAGCCCTGCCCTCCTGGGGCACTAGGTTGTCCGGGAAGGAAGTGCTCATGCTGAGACAGCTTGCTGGAGGTGGTGGGGTTGCGGAGGAAGTAGGAGCTGCATAGGTGAGAGGCAGAGTCTTCCCGACTGGACAGGCTATGGCCAGCAGCCCCAAGTGCTCTAGGAGACCGGTGCCCACTTGGCCAGGCTGGGCCACTCTGAAGTGAGTCAGCTCTGCTCAGGTCTCACACCTGCCCAGTGGACACAGGAGCGCACAAGGTGACACATGTGCAGGCAGAGGCTGTGGGCCCTGAGAAGGACAGAGGGACAGACAGACAAGGCCCCGTGGGGCAGATGCTCAGAGGCCCTGTTGGTTAGGTGCTATGAAGGCTGGCTCAGCAGGCCTGGGAACGCATGAGGTGACAGTTGCCTGAGAGCCAAATTGACTTAGTGAACACCGCAGATTTGGACGCGATGAATGCTTCTTTAATTTCATTTTTTTTTTTTCCTTTCAGGACTGAGGAAGGAACCCAGAGCCTCACGCATGCTAGGCAAGTGCGGGGCGCTAAGCCACATCCTCTGTCCTCCAACGCTCATTTTTGACACAGCAAGTCAGAACTTAACAGACAACCCAGGACTGGGCCAGCTCTTCAGTTCCCACCACCCCTGCATGCAAATAGTCCTTAGGGTGATGGCAGGGCTCTGATACCCGTCACTACATGGGTAGCAGTGGCGCTCTGTGGAGGGACATCCACAGGACATGACTTGGAGCCAACCTCTGTGGGAAGAAAAGGCAGAACTTGTGGTAGAGGCCTTAACGGCCTCAAGGGGTCTCTTTCCACATCTTTCCAGGCCAAGATCAGCCTGTTCCTCCGTGTCACCTCCAAACTCAGCAAAGAGGCAAGAAGAGGAGGGACGCCAGGCAGGGAGGCGGGGCCAGGCCGAGGAGGGCCTTGATGTGAGGGCCCTGGGGCTGTGGGTGGGGAGGGGGCAATGCCCGTGTGACTGAGCTTCCCAGAGGTGACAGCTGCACTAAACCAAGGCGTGTGGGGAATGTGAGGCGAGTTCTTTAGTATCTGCTGCTTCCAGACAAATGATGTGAAGAAGATGGTGGTGGCGATGGGAGTATAATAGATGTCAGTTGGTCGGCACAGGAAGCCAGCAGAACATCCTGATGGGTAGAGGTGACAAAAGACCACAGGCGTCTGCTTTCGGCCTGAGCAGCTGGCAGTGGGTACAATGGGCCTAGAGGACAAGGGCGGGGAGCTTAGTGTGGGCATTCAGGAGCTATGCCCGTGCCACACGCCACAGATACGGGCCAAGTGACAGATTTAAACGTGGAACGGCTGACTGGAATAGTGTCAGAGGCCACCTCAGATGTGTGCTGGATCACGCTGGGCCTGCTCTCCACGGCCTCCTGCTGGCTTTGTTGCTTACAGGGTCTTCCTGTTCCTGAGTCCACTCATGTTCCCTCCTCCTGAGCAGGCAGGGGTGGGCGGAAGGGTCAGGGCTCCTTCCTCCTGAGCAGCCAGGTGTCCTCCCTCCCCAGAAAGGAGCTGTTTTTCAGCTGGCACCCGGTGCTCTGGTGGAGCCGTCACCCCAAGAAGCACAGCCCTTGGGAACAAAGCGAGACCTATCACTGCCACTTTAAGGGGGAGCTCTGTCCGCCTGTGTTTCTACCTGTAGGTCAGAGAGAAGGAAGTAGAGGTGGGCTGTGGGGAGCCTGCTGCTAACACCAACACTTCCTGCGGGGACAACAACGGCACACAGAGGATCTTGCCTGCGGCCACCAGCGCCTGGGCCTTGCTGGAGTGATGGCCCCAGCCCTGCTCTGGTCGCTGCTGACCCTCTGCATCTGTGCAGGTGAGTGAGGAGGCAGAGAGAGGCAGAGGCTGTGGGGCAGGGAGTGTGGGGACAGACGCTGCCCCTCAGCCTTCCTGCCCTGTTCCTCAGGAACCCCCGCCGTGTGGGTGCAAGTGCAGATGGTGGCCACCAAGCTCCTGTCCTTCACTGTCCACTGTGGCTTCCAAGGGTCTGGCTTCATCTCCCTGGTGACCGTGAGCTGGTGGGGGTCAAATGTTACCAGAAGAACCACGCTGGCTGTGCTGCACCCAGAACTTGGGGTTCGTCAGTGGGCTCCCGCCAGCCAGGCCCGCTGGTTAAACAAAAGCAGTGTCTCCCTCATCCTGGAGGGGGCTGAGGGGCAAAGCCCCCAGGCCAACACCACCTTCTGCTGCCAGTTTGTTTCCTTCCCCGAAGGCTCCCATGAGACCTGCGGGGACCCTCCAGCCAGCTCAGACCAAGGTGGGGCTGGAGAGAGGGGAAGGGATCAGGGAGGGTCTTGAGCCTGGCTACTTGGGTCTGACACCTCCGTCTGTCTCCAGGGCTTCCTGCCCCAACCCCAGCCCGCATTCTGCAGGCAGACCTGGCTGGGATCTTGGGGCCCACAGGGGTCCTTCTGTTTGGTTTCATCTTTGTCCTGCACCACCTGCGCCGGAGGAGGCATTGGTAAGACTGGACCCCGTCAAAGTGCCCAGGCCAGGGGTACCTGTGCGCTGCCTCTGACTGCTTCTGTCTCTCTCAGGTCCATTTCTAAGCTTCAGCGCCACTCCCTTGCCAGCAACCAGGCCCAGGTGATAAGGATAGGTGGCAGGGTAGGGGTGTGGGTGGAACCGGGCCAGCAGAGAAGTCTCATGTGGCCTCTTTTTCTCCCTCCTCCCTTCCTCCAAAGGCTGCTCTCCACCTCTCCTACCCCACCCCCACCTTCTGCCCAGCAGCTCTGGACTCGGCCCATCTCCACCAGCGACTATCCCAGTGGGCACCAGTCCCTGACCTTCCTGCACGCCAATCCCAAGTGCATGCCCCCCAGGCCTCCTCACTGCTCCCTGAACTCAGCAGCTTTGTGTATGTTGAGAACGGACTCTATGCTGGGGCAGGAGCAGAGCCTCCCCACACAGATGCCAGCCTCACCCCTTCTCCGCTCTCTGAGGCCACAGATGTGTACTTGGAAGTCTGACAGTGCAGACTACCGGACGGACGTCCACTCGGCTGTTTCCCATCTCAGGTCTCTGAGACTTCCTGTGCTGGCACCCTCTGTCTTGTTTTGGCCCAAGGCCGCCAGTAAGTGTGCCCAAGCACGTGGGGATGTGGTCAGTGTGGACACCGGTGTGAGCGCACACAGTGACGAACGAAGCCTCATCCTGTGTGACTAGTTGTTTTGCACGCATCCCCAACCTGCCAGGCGATGCCAATAACTAAGTCAATAAATCAGTTCCTTGGTCTTGGTCTTGGGTCTGGGCTGGGAATTTTCTACTTTGAGAGATTAAGCATTGAGAGACAGATCCAACCCCTGGGGGGCAGAAGGCTGCTTAGAACCTGAGGCCCTCAGCTTGGCCCTGGGTCAAGAACCCAGTCTCCGGTCTCCCTCTGCACCTCCTGGGGGGTTCCTGGGCCTTTGGGACTGGAGAGGCAGCACTGGCCAGGGGATTTCCCAGCCCTGCAGGCCTTGCTGAGAGATGCCGGAGGTGAGAAGATGGGGTTGGAGGTTTGATGGTTCTACTCAAGTTGCGCTGCATGGCTGCTCTCCTGGGACAGCAGCAGGGGCAGCTGGGGCTCCCCCGAAAAGAGAGGTCCCTGTGGGCTGGGCAGGATGGCCTGAAATGGGGCTCTACTGTCCTCTCCCACAGACTTGGGATTCAGAGTGACAATGAGACCCTCCTCAAATCTCACAGCTGCTCCCCTTGGCTCCTCTCCACTACTAAGGCACTAGGCGCTGCTCCCTGTGGGCTACCAGGGGCAGACAGAGAGGTCCTTGCAGGTGTCGACTGCCAGCTATCCCATCCAAGTGCCAGACTGCTCTGTGCTTGAGTCAGGCACCCTCAGGTTCCTCAGACTTTGCCACAGGGGACAATAGTGAGGGCCCTGTGAGTTTGAGACTCTTTGGGAAAATAATAGGTTCATGGAGTGAGTGACACTAGCAGAGTGTCCCTTGGGCTTTGTGAGACTGCAGGGAGCCTCTGGACAGTGGCACTGCTAGCCTCCTCTGCCCGGCTCAGGAGAACCTAGCTAGAGGCTGAGTCCAACACGGAACTACCCAGCACTCTCCTCCCACTCAGACCTGCTCTCAGGGGGCCTTCCCAGGACCAGCCCACACAGCTTCTGGCTCCACACTGCACCCAAGCAGAGGGGTCTTCAGGGATGCTTGGGGCTGCCTGGCTTAGCCAGTACTCACCTCCACCTTCGAGATGCCCTCAGCCCAAGCCTGGTCAGCCCTCCCTCCAGGGATAGAGGCTCAAGGGAGGGAAGAGGAGGATGCTACAAGCCCCCTGAGGAAGTCCAGGGAAGCAGGCCAGGGCAGGAGAGAGCAGACTGGGACTCAGCTCTTCAGGGTCTCGTCTGAACCCAGCACAGGAGTGTGGGGCAATGAACTTGCAGTGTCTCTGGTGAAGGCTGAGAGACCCCCAGAAACCTTTGCTTCTCTGTATGTCCCTGGGCCATCATAGAATAGAGAAACATCCCATCTCCTGATCATGCTCCCACTCATTTAGGAGGACACAGCCAGCCGCTGCCTGTGATACAGCAAATCTAACACAGGGACCCAGAAAGTCTCCTTTAGCCATTGGCTCCCTACTGCCCAGCCTGAGTGCCAGAACCAGCAGCAGACAGAAGGGTGCCCAGAGCAGAGCTGGGCTGCCCAGTGCTCTGAGGTGCAGCTGGGCCACAGGCCTGATTCTGCAACCCTCTAAGGTTTTTTGTTTGTTTGTTTCAGTACTGAGGAATGAACCCAGGGAGTTTGCACTGAGCTACATCTCCAGCTCCTTTTTCATTTTTTCTTTTGAGGCAGGGCCTTGTCAAATTGCTAAGTCACTAACTGGGTATAGTGGTACACACTTGTAGTCCCAGCACTTGGGAGGCTGACGCAGGAAGAGCACCATGAGCTCAAGGCCAGCCTGGACTACAGACTGAGTTCAAGGCCAGCCTGCACTACATAGTGAGATCCCAACTCAAAAAAAAAAAAGTCACTAAGTTGCCCAGACTGGGATCCAACTTGAGATCCTCCTGCCTCAGCTTTCCAGAGTGCTGAGTTTATAGGCCTGTACCACCACTCCTAGCTACAAGCCTCTTTTTTAGGACTGTCTGTTCAGCATGTGCGGAAATTTGAGGCCTGAGACAAAGAGCTTACCAAGAAGACAGAACTGATCCCTCAGATCTGTTTCCTCTCCCTCTAGCTGCCCAGCATCCAGGGTGGACCCACGATATCCAGAAGGTTTCAGATGACAAGACCTAGGCCTAGCCCCCTGGGTCAATCGTAGTTGTGTGACCTGGCTAACCTCAGAGGCTTTCTTCACCCCCTGGGTACACACAGGTGACAGGTCTCAGGAGCAGGAAGGCTCCCTGGAAGGGTACTGGGCACCGCTGCTTGGACTGGCTTATTTAGGAGCAGCCCCTGCCTGGGAAGGAGAGGGGAACCCACAGAGGGTCACAGAGCAGGGAAACAAAAGGGCCTTAGGGGAAGGGCAGGAGACTGAACTCAAGACCAGACAAGGCTCACAGTGAGGCTTAAGCCAGGAGTGGTGGCTCAGGCCTGTAAACTCAGCAGTCTGGAAAGCTTGAGGCAGGAGGATCTCAAGTTTGAGCCCAGTTGGGCAACTTAGTGATTTTTTTTTTTTTTTGAGACAGGGTCTTACAGTGGGCAGAGGCTCTAGTCAGCTGTGGTAGCTGACACCAGTGAAGAGGCCCCAGACTGTCCCTGGAGGGCCAGAGTGTGTGAGCCCAAGGAGCTGGCTGTGGCAGGGACAGCTCTGGAGGTGGAGATGCTGAGAGTGGGAATAGACAGAGTGACCCCCTGCATCTGCAACCTGGGCTGCAAAGCGCCTGCCTACCCTCGCCACTGGGCTGGCCTAGGGCCTTTCTGGAGACCAGGACCAAGTTGGCCCCTAGATCTCCCCTGGCCATCACCAAGGACTGTTCCTTGACAGCCAGCTGCTCTTCTCCAAGGCACGATGGAGAACTGGCTCGCCTGCCTGCTGCCCCTAGCAGCCCCAGCTCTTCTTCCTCACTCCCCTGACCCTGCTCCAGAGATGTCCCCAGTCCCCATACTACTCAGGCCTGCTCCCCAATCACTGTCTGCTCCCTGTCCCCAGCCACTGGCACCCAGCCCGGGTGACCTCTGGCTCAGTCACCCACCCTCCTTTCCCACCCATTCTGAGAGGATGGGCCACAGCCCAGCCCCATCCTACCCTCTGAGTCACAATGGTCAATCCCTATCACATGCACAGCTATAGCCCCTCAGCTGCCGATAGCCTGTGCCAGTCCCCTCAACTTCCTGCCTCCAACCACAGGTGTCTCCAGGAGGCCAGTGGCAGGAACACACTCTTGGATTCAGAGGCTGGTGGATAGACAGTCACTCTGGGGGTCCCCACCATTGCCCAGTGCACTGTCCTCCAGGCCTCAACTTCAGCCCTGTGCCCTACCCCCAACTCACAAGGTGGCCAGGAGATGTCACAGTGCTGACAGGGTGTGACAGGCTGGGACATGCAAAACCCAAATCCACCCAGGGCATGTGCTCAGCCAGCAGGACCAGGGAGGCCATGACCAGGCGGGCGGGGCAAGGAGGGCCAGTGGAGATGGGAGCCTCTGCCTCACTCTCCCAGAAAGAAACCATGGGATGTGGCCCTGTCCCCAGAACACAGACAAACCCATTTGGAATTAAGTTACTTAGCCTAGGCCTGGGATGGGAGGCTGCCAAACCTCAGGCTCCAGCCAAGCTCTGCAGAATGGGGCGCAGCGACATGAGGCATTCCTGTAGAAAGAGCATGACTTCAGTCGCAGAAATGGACCACCTCGCCCAGAAAGAGGGGCTGACTGGAGAAGTGGTGGGGACCTGTGGGAACTCTGAAGGCTCCACCTCCATCCGGAAGGCCTGAGCTCCACCTCCATCCGGAAGGACGGAGCCACAGGCCTGAGCCTCCGATGAAGCAGTCCCACTGAGGACAGGCTGGGCGGCAGGAGATCCAGGGCCTGGAGACCTCGGCCTTGCTCCTCCGCCCTCCGTGGCCTCCCTCCCTGCGCCCCGGGGTCCCAGCAGGCAGAACTGCTCCTGACCGTGAGGTCCAGTGCGAGGTGCTCTCTGTCTCTGACATGAAACTGATGGGACTGGAGAGAGCTACAGCCAGGGTGTGTCAGGCCAGGGAGGAAGAAGCATGGGGTGAGGACAGAAAGAAGCCACCAACCTGTCCCATATCCTTAGACAATCGGCAGGAAGGGTACTCTGCACACAGGCACCAAAGGGAAAGGAGTAAGCGCCCGCCACCCTGGCCTTTGGGACCTGTCGCCTCCTTCCCACCACTTCCTCGTTCCCACACTTTCTCCTCTCCTCCCCCCTTCCCTTTTCTTTTTCTTTTTCTCTTTTTTTCTGACAGGATTTCACAGTGCAGGGCAGGCTGGCCTTCAACTCACTTTGTAGCCCAGGCTGGCCTTGAACTCACAGAGATCCTCCTCCCTGAGCCTCCCAAGTGGTGGGATTACAGGCGTGCATCTCCAAACCCAGCCTCCATTCTTTCATTTCCTCATTTCATTCCTTCAGAAAGAATCTCTGGCTTCCTGGAACTACAAAGGTGAACAAATCAGGACCTTTACCTTCTGCGTTAGACGGAGAAGGTGAATAAAAAGATGAACAGTTTGAGAAATGTTCCTGGGGAAAAACCTGGATGTATTGGGAAGGAGTGATGCTGAGCTGATGGAGCTCCACACAGGCCTTGGGATGAGAGAGAGGACTCCAGGCAAATACAGTGAGGAGAGAATTGCAGGCAGGGAAAGGGCTGTGCAAAGGCCCTGGGGCTTGAAAGAGTATGCATTGCCATGGTCTCAGAAAAGTCAGTGTGTGTGAAGGAAGGTGAGCAAAGCAGGGGGATGCAGTGGGTGAGAGGGATGGAAGGGCCATGGACAGGTGAGGATTTCATTACAGGCACAGTGTCACCCTTTGCAGGTTTTATGCAGAGCAGTAAAGTGAACAGATCTACTTTGTTAAAAGACCATACTGGCTGTGGGGCAAAGTAGGCTATGTGAGTTGGGGTGGGAGTGTGGATAAAAGCAGGGAGTCCTGCAAGACTCCAGGGTGTCCTGGATGGATTTACAGCTAAGGGGGAGTATGCAGAGGATGGTGGAATACGGAGGGAAAGAAGTGGATGGATCCAAAATATGTTTTAGAAGCAGAGCTCTCCCTGGCTGAAGGGAGACAGGGTGAGCACTCAAGGTTTCCCCCCATTTTCCAGTCTAAGGTGGGGCAGGTGCCATTCCCTGAGCTGGAAGACTGGGGCAGGAGCATATCCCAGGGAATGGGTGACAAGGTGCCAATCAGAGTTTCCACTGAGAAGCCTGAGCCTCCCATGGAGGGCCCAGAGAGTGTCAGAAGGGAAACACAGCACCTCCACGGGAGATGCTCCAGAAAGAAGGCAAAGCTGGAAATCAAATGAGGCATCTCGGAGACTCACAGAGCCAGGCTCCCTGTGAGGGGGCCGATCTCAGGCTCACAGGCTGGAAAGGGGAGCCCCCAGGCTCATGGCACCCTTCACCCAACGCCAGGGATGTCCCAGTGGAAGCTGCCCAGTGACTTAAAACTTTGTAAACTGTCTTGCCTTGGGAGGGATGTGCTTTTGCAAAGTTAAAAGTGTTCACAGATACAGGACTTCAAGGATGCAGGAAATAAGAACGCAGAAGTAAAACAAGTGGGGTGCGATGGTGCACTTCTGCGGTCCCGGCAAGACTGCAGTTCTTCCTCCTCCCCGGGAGGGGCCAGGCTGATGTCCGTGCCCTTTAACTCTGCTGGGGAAACAGCAGGAGCAGCCCACGGACCTCACATGGTCACACCATTCCACCTCGACATGTGGGACAAAGCAACCCCAAGACTCCCTGTCTCAGTGTCCCCGAGGGTAGGATGGAGCTGCCAGGGTGCACAGAAAATAGTGTGAAGCTGAGAATGAACCAATGGACGTTTGGAGCCAGGCTCAGGTCACAGGACCCATGAACACATAAGTGAGGAGGTAGAGGCAGAGGGGCCAGGTGCTGCCCCGAAGGTCTGGGGGAAGTGAGGAAGAGGCTGCTTCCATGACAGTGAGACACAAGCTGAAGAAACGGAAACGGTCCCACTAGCGCCACCTCGAGGAGGCTGATGCAGATTCTTCTGGTGCAGTCCTGCCTCCCTCCCTGCCCCCACGGTCCCTCAGCAACAGGCGCCTAAAGCCTCCTGAGGAGGGACGGGCAGAGCTCTCCAAAGAACAGCCCCGAGGGCCCCCAACGCCTCTGTCTCCAATCAGTCACCATCCTGCACTGCTCACAGGCCGGAAGTGACCCCTTTTGGAGAGGACCCAGGGCCTGAGTAACGGGGACTCATGGTTTCTCTGAGCCCGTGTCACCTGCCCGACCAAGAAGGCTTTGGATTGGTCAGAGGACTCACAGCTTTCAGAGGTCCGTCTAAGGAGATTTACAAAAATCCAGCTTTGGAGGACCCACCACCACCAGGGCTGTGACACAATTGAGGATTCAGCAGGAAAGGAGGTGCAGACCTAGAAACCACACATGACAACAGTTATGTTTCCTGGACCAAAGCTGCTGTGAGACTTGGTTTCCATCTCTCCAGGGACAGAGGGGACCTCATGCAGGGAGGTATATATTTTTTGAGAGTCACTCCCTGGGTGACTAGATCAGTCACATCAGAACATCAGAGATGATAGGGATTTACAGCTAAGAAAACATCTGGGGGCAAGGAGGGTCACCACGGCTTGGTACTGCCTGTGGAGTGCAGAGCCCCTGTTAGGCCCGGAGGGGATAAAGAACAGCCCTGGGGCCTGGTGCAAGGTTGGGGACTGAGGACGGGTGAGCCCCACCATCACTGTCCTCATCCTCTGTGAAGCTGAGTCCTGCACACAGCCAGGAAAATACTCACAGCATCTCTCCTGCCCCCGACAGGGCCCAGGTGGGTGGCAGCCCCTTTCCTGCCTCTACAGACAGGCAGACTGGGAGACACTCAGAGAACCTAAGGGAAAAGAGACAGAGGGACCCAGGATGAGGTGGGAGGGCATGAAGAAAGGAAACAGAGCCACACGAAAGAGTTAAGAGACCCAGAGAGGCAGCTGCGCAGCACCCACCCAACAAGTGGCCCGGGGGAGTCAGGTGAGTGAGGAGGCCCAGGAGGCCCAGCTCTGCTCCATGTCTCTCAGTGGAAGAGGAGCCTGGGGACAGAGGGCAGGCTACCTTGACACTGTGCACAGGGGACGCCTTCAGCAATGCAGGGAAAGAAGAAGTCTGATGGACAGGGGAAGTGCTGGCCACAGGGTGGAGATGGGCTGACCACGCCCTCCCTCAGTCCTCAGCAGGAGCTGGCCCTGGCTCTCCAGACTTCCCTACCCAGCTCTCCCCTCTCCTGAGTCCCCAGAGCCCTGCTGTCTGCCTTGGTGGCTCTGCTGGCTCACACCCTGGAGGAGAGCAGGCCATGGGCTGGGTCCTGCTGCTGCTCTGGCTGCCTGCAGTGTCCCTGCAAGCTGGTGAGTGAAGAGACAGCCCTGCCAGGGGCTCTGAGCACACCCAGGAGGGGCCAACGGGAAGAGGAGTGGCCCAGTGGGCACTGGCAGAGGGTCTGTGGGGGGAGCCAGGTCCCTCCCCTCCCCACAGGGCTGCTGCACAGGGCGCTGTACTCCCCCCCATGCCTGCTGTCCTCCCCGAGCCTGGAGAAGGACGTCAGGCCAGAGGGACAGTCCTGCCATCTGCTGCATGACTGCCTGTGGATGCAGGTGCTGAGGGCCTGAGGTGCCCTCTGCGTCCTCAGTGCCTTCGACCTCTCTCCTCCCGCCTCTTCCAGCTAACTCAGCCAGATCCAGCAGAGAACTCTCCTATGGGGTTACTCAGCCAAAAAACCTCTCTGCTGCCATCGGTGGCTCCCTTGAAATCCCCTTCTCCTTCTACCACCCCTGGACCTTGGCCAGGAATCCCCAAGTGAAACTGTCCTGGAGACGGTACCACTTCTATGGGGAATTTTTCTACAACACAAGCCCACTCTTCACCCATGAGGATTTCAGGGACTGGCTCTCCCTGAACTGGACAGAGAACCAGCAGTCTGGCTCCCTCAGAATCCAGAAGCTGCGGAAAGAGGATGAGAACGTGTACTTCTGCCGAGTCCAGCTGAAGACACAGAGGGAAGGCATAAAGAAGTGGCAGGCCATCCAGGGGACCAGAGTCAGCATCACCCCCGGTGAGCCCGCGCCAGTCCAGGCTCCTCTGTCTCCTGTGGTGGCTTCCACTTCTCTCCCACCTCTGCTGTCAGGACCCCTGGCTGTCACCTCAGGCTCCACCCCTCCTGACGCTCCTCCCTGCCTCTCCCCTCTCCTTCTTTTACCTTTTCTCTTCCCCATAATTGTCCCCAAACTCAGCTGTGTTCCCTGACCTTGCCCCTCTTTGTCCTTTGGGATCCAGCCCCACCTCCCCAGCCTGGGCCTCACCAGACTCCCCATTCCCCTCCCTCTGCTGCAAGCTGGCACCGCTGCCCTGCCAGCTACCTGCCCTCACCTGTGACATCCAGTGTGATTTTTCCAGGATGTGACTTCTTCCCCTGTCCTGAGTCTTGGCCCAGTTTGCCACCATAACTTTTTGTTCTGTTTTCTTTTGTTTTGTTCTATTGGACTTTTGAGACAGGGTCTCACCATGTAGTTGAGCTGAACTCACTGTGTAGCCCTGGTTGGCCTCGAACTCTTGACAGTCCTCCTGCCTCTGCCCCTTGAGTGCTGAGCTCACAGGTGTGTACCACCACTCCTGGCTACAGCACCGTAACTTTTGTGTCTCCCATTCCCGTGCTCAGCCCAGAACACTCCAGAGGTGCCCAGTGCATGGCCTCGCTGCTTCAGTGCCCCGGTGACCATCTCACCTAGGTTCCCAGCCTCCCTACCCCCCCCCACTTCTGCTCCCCAGAATTCAACCTCAAGGGTCCCTGCCCCAGCCTTTTCTCTCCTGCTCCTACTCCAGATTTTCCTGCCTCCCTCCACACTGCTCACACCATTCCAGTCCCCACTTTTCTCCCCCACCAAGCCCCAGGCTCCTCCAGTCACAGCGTGTCGTCCCGTGTCGTTCCCCCCCCCCCCCCACTGAACTATGATCTCCCTTCCCATCTTCCTCTTTGTTCCTTTGGAAGCTGCTCCTCAGCAGCAGGGGCAGCAGCTCCTCCTGGCAGGAAACCGAGAGCATTGCCCAACTCACCTCCTGCGTGACCCTGCAGTCTCAGTAGGCCACTGTCACGGTCACCACACCGAGAGGGAAACTGAGGCTGGCTGCATGAGCACCTGCCACCAGCCACACTCCTCCTGTAGATAGTTCTGGAGAGGAACAGGCCCCCGGCAGAACCCGCTCTTTTGGCCACAGGACCTCACGCACTGCTCCCCTGAGCCCCCTTACTAAGCTAATGGAGCCTGTGCAGCCCTGCCAGGCCCTCCCTCAGCGCACTGCAGGGCTGTGGGCACTGAGCCTGGGTTTGCCCATCTAAGGAGCAGTGGGGCCGTGGGGCTTTGCTGCATTAGGAGGCGGTAAGGAATTATTTAGAAAACCGACTATCAGATCAAGTTTTATAATCACGTGGCTCCAGTGCTCAGCAGGGGCCTGTGATAAGTGGCTCCTCTCTATCCTGGTGGGCTCTTGCTGCCCCCTTGTGGAAAACACTGCCTGCCTCAGCCTCTGGCTGGGCAGAGTGTAGCACAGCCCCAGCCTGAGTTCAGCAGGACCACCCTGGCTCTGTGCTGCGGGGCACCCCGCGGGCAGCCCCACCAGCCCTTTCCTGAGAGGCTTCTGCGTCCTGTCCCCCCTCACTGCTGCCCTCATGATTCATTCCTTTCTCTTTGCTCTGCTTCAGTCAGAGGTGCTGTGAGCTTTCTGTTTGTTTCATTTTTGGTTTTGCCCTGAGAAGAGAACAGAAAATTGTGGAACTGAGCACAGTTTCCATTTAGGAAGCTGAAAAAGTTTTTGAGTTGGTTATGATAGCTGTCTACCAAATGAATGAAGCTAGGGCCACTGAACAGTACCTTTCTAGAGAGTTAAAATGAACGGATTGACTGTTATATATGTTTACAAAAATTCTATAATTTTGAGTCCTGTGATTTCCTTATACCCATTACTAAGGGATGAAACAAGTGTCTGAGGAGCATCACTGAAAAGTGGTAAAGAACCAGGAGGTAACCCAGGTGGTCTGCACTGGAAGCCTTTCTCCTTGTTACTCCCTGTCTGTATGAAATTCTGAGAGCTGGTCTTGTGCCCACATTCTCCTAAACTAGGGAACAAGTTGTGACACTTTCACCCAGAAATCCTAGCCCCTCCTGGAAGGATCTGATTATTTCTCATCTCTCTCCAGCTGCCAAGATCACAACACAGAATTCCAGCAGCAGCAGCTCCGAAGCCACCACAGCTCGACTCAAGGTCACAGAGGGCAAGAGGACCTCAGAATCATGGTCCCTCAATTTGGGAGCTATCATTGGGGTGACAGTGGCCACTGTGGTGCTCCTAACCCCACTTGTGGCACTGATGATCTTCCTCAGGTGTAAGGAGAAGTGAAGGGTTTAGGTCCTGGGCTCAGCTCATCAAGATTCCCACATGGGTGTTTCTCAGAGAACCACATCACAATCACAAAGATGCTTCCTCAAAGGGCAGATGCAGGCTGGGCTCCCCTCAAAGCCACAGAGTCGGGCTCTGAGCCCTGTGCTTGGGAATCTCCAGTAAGCAGGCTTCTCAGTGTGGAATTCACCACTGTAATACATCTCAGTAACATACATGGACAAAAACACGTACTTGTCACTGATGATGCAAGAAAGACTTGGACAGCCTTCCACGTCCTTTCCTGCCACAACCCAATGCGGCTCCTGAAGTTCTTGGGGTTAAGGACCACAATGAGAAAAATAAAGAAAAGACAAAGCTGGGGTCAGGTGGAGCCCTTTTCCTCCTGATGGGAGGAAGGAACTGTTCAACCACTGCAGCACCTGTATATATATACTGGGGAAGATGATGGCAATTTCAGCCCTCTGCCTAGCAACCCATTGCTTGGCAGGCCTGGGCCCCTTGCCTTCTTGGTGCTGGAACAACTTGTTTCCATAGCTTGTTTTGGTCTTTCTGTTTTTTTCTGGGCTGACCTTGCTTTAGCCCCACACATGTGATCAATCTTCAGCTTCAAAGATTCCCTACATATCCCTCTTTGTTTTGTTGTTGCACAGGAGGGGTCCTCAGTTGAAGCTGGAGGAGCTGTGTTTAGAGAGCTCTGTAGATCTTTTTATTTTAAGTGCAGTCCAAAGATTTTAAATCCCTTCATTCCTCAATTGAAATCTTGTGCAGTCCATTAATCTGTGACAGTAATCAGCTACCAGCATAGCTGGCAATTGCCAAAAGATATTAGTGATTTGAGTTTCTTTTATAACCTATTACTTTAGCATTGTTTTATATACCTCTAGTTAGTTGTACATTTTCTGCAAGATGGTCAAGACCAAGGTAAGGTGAGACCTGTTTTAAATACAATCAATTTTTTTTAATCTATCAAGGTCAGTTAGGTCTCCTCAAGAACCTTGGAACCAGCTATAGAACCTCTTAGTTCTTCTGTCAGTGTCAGCCGTTGAGATGAGTCAGAGCCATTGCTTGACTAAGTTGCTTTCTGTGAAAGCTTGGGAGATTTTTGCTCCTGGTGACTCTCCTTAGGCAAACCACACACCGATGACCACTTTCCTCAGTGGTCTCACAGTATTCTTGATCAAAGACCAGGGACTCACCGAGTATAGGATGACACAGCAGAGGTTCTCTAGTGTCCTGGGTCCTCACTGACCTTGGAGGGCGAGGGCCAGAAAACATTGGCTGTCCTCCTAGCCCATCTGTCTCTCCAATTATTGGTCTCTATACCTCAGTTGTTGAACATCCAGAAGAAAGGATTGACAACAGTACAATGTAGTTAGAGACATTATTATCTTATCTAAATATCAAACATCTTACAACATAAAATAGAACCGTTATTTTTTAACAACCATGGATGTTTTAACATTTGAATACCTGTAGAATGTTAACAAGTACATATTTTATATAGAAAATTAGAAATCAAAACCATACCTGATGTTATAACATGAGAATCATGATGACATTTGTTTTAAACACACTTCAATTTGCATTTTTTTAAAACAGAAGGTATCCCCTTTCTGGTCTGTCATCCCTATCTAACACATAAAAGCCTTTATCTAACTTGTTGACCTTTAGTACAATGTACATCTCATAAGCAGTTCTTAGAGGCAGAAGTCTAAATCTGAAATAAAAGTTTGTCACTATAAACAATCTGTTTTTATATTTTTAAAGACCTGTACATCTGGAGGCTTAAATATATGAATACACAATGAGGTTAGCAATAATCATTTGTCATAATCATATGAAAATCTTTCTATGGGCATTTTTAAAATCAAAAACCTTTTGTATTATTTCTTTTAATGATGACCAATGTGAACATATTGCAATAATGTTTATATAACTTTAGTTGGGGGTATCTCCCATAAGGCCATGGAGATCATCGGGGCCTCCAATCAATGAACCAGAGCTGGTAAAATGTCACCAGGTGGCCACTTTTTCATTCATCAATTGAAGTCCTGTCCAACAATCCCAACCCCAAGGGATCTTTGTTTAATCATTTTTATAGTAATTTTTTCTTAAGAAAACTCCAATCATAACATTTAAGATACTAGTTTTGAACATGAGAGACTCAAATTACGATAATTAACAATGTACATTACATTTACACAACTGACTTTAGCATCATTTTGACTCACTGGGAGCCCAGGAGGAAGCATGTGTTGTAATTCTGTAACTCAAATAAACCTTGATTAAATGATCTATAAACGCCAAAGAAAAAGGAAAAAAGAAAATTGTTGAGGTCAAAATAAAAACAACAGTTGTTCACAGACAGACAAATGGACAAACATGGACAATCTGTACAGATTCAAACAGATGCAGAAACAAACACAGAGTTGTCTGTGTCCACAGAAACTCTCCAAGTTCCTGGGGGCTATTTCACACCCCTTTGCTGAACTAGCTGACTTCTTACACCCCGTGTCCTAGGGGTTGGAACACCTGTCACCTCCAGCACCCCATGCCCTCAAGGCATTTCTCAAGCACCCCATGCCACCTGGACACTCCTGTAGGGCACTTGTGCTATTGGCTCCAAACGTGTAAGCGATCACTAGCTCAGTGACTTCCAGCAACAGCTTACCAGACTGGACAAACAGACAAACAGATACACAGACAGATGTACAAACATCTTTCACAATCAGACTGAACTCAACTATATTTTAGCCAAATTGAATTACACAAAAGTTTTACAATTGTAGAATTTGTAATTTTAAATAGACTAGTCACATTTGTTGCAGGTCAGTTAGCAGAGATCTCTTATCAAAGATTTGAAAGAGACAAAACCTTACCTATAATTAACATATTTTTGGCATAGGACTTAGCATGTACTTCTATCATCTATTTGGACCTTTTTTATTTTTGGTTACTATCTCCTGGGCATCTTGGGTTACTGAAGGTTTGTTCTAGCTTCATCTTTTTCTATGGGTTGTGGCATGGTCTCCAAGGACTGAGCATCAGCTTCTTGAGAGGTAGGATCAACTCCTTTCCTTCGCTTGGGCCCATGATACAGCTGGACAGCACATACTGGCACCCAGATAGGCCATTTAGCTTTTCCTGGAGAAACACAAGCATACCCTTGACCCCACATTAGCACTTGACTGGGTGCTTTTATTGTCCAATATGAAGATCATTCCAATGGACTCTTTTTAGATTTGCTTTATTTGATTACATTATCTACTAAGGCTGTTAGATCTTTATTAGAATTTAAATATTTAAAATGGTATATACTTCCAAGAGAAATCTATTCTGAGATGAACTCTCCCTTTTGTTTTTTTTAAATTTAAATTGTGAACACATTTAGCTTACTTTTACACCTGAAGATTATAAAGCATTTTTGTGGTAAGGTATAAAGAAAATCAAAACTGAGTTTTGTATTTTATATTTAGGTGCTTCTGTGACATGCAGGTGGTGCTCCTGCCCTGGGCTGGAGGCCCTGCTGTTGTTGGGGATCTGAGCATCAGCACAGAATAAACTTTTATTCATAAAGCATGTGCACGGGCGATGGGGAAAATTAGGGTGGCTTCGGCAGGCCAGAGCCGTGTCCCACCTCTCTAATAAGTATCAGAAGACCCAAAATCCTTCAGGAACCTTTCTTTATGTATTTTCCAATTTTTGTCAAGAGAAGAATAACCAATTGAACAAGACAATAATCTAGGGAGATCTGAACTGTGTTTCATGTAGATTGAACCATAACCCTGATTTCCCCTTACAGCTGAAACAAGCAACACTGTTTCTTTACCTTCCTCTTCTGGGCCAAACTCCAGGCCCAGTGGAGTTTCGGTGCCTCCCCTGCCTGGGGCCTGTGAGAAGTAGTGAGAGGAGCAGAGAGCAGCAGTTTTATTAAATAACCCTTTAAAATCTGCAGAGCCTCAGCTAAATTTATGTTGGTTTGTTTTGTCCCTCATCTTGCTCTGAGCAGTTTTTCAGTTTCCTCCCAAGTATGCAAATTTACAATTCCTTCTTCTGGAGTCAAACTCAAGAAATTTAGCAAGCTGTGTAGGGTCAGTCTATTGACAGCTAAAATTGACTTAAGAAAGCAGAAGGGACCTAAATAACCATAGAGTTACATTAATTGCGAATTTGAAACGAGTACTCCTGAAGTAAACAATTTTGAAAAGCAATGGAGTTTGAGAATTTACATTACAAGATATCAAGACCCTTTACAAAGCCATAGTGAGACAGTGATATGCCGGAGCCAGCCTGTTACCAGCCGTGAAAGCCAAATGTTGAATTTTTAGAAATTTTAAAGGTTAGTTGTTGTCGTATTGGTTACTTGAAATTGTCTTTTGTAAGAGCATTTTGTAAACAGAAATCAGCAAGCCATGAATCAGGACCATATTGCCCCCAACCACTAGGAGCCTGCTGGGCCGAGCAGGACCAGGCCATCCGGGGAGCCTTCTGAGCCACCACACCCCTACTTTTTGGCAAGGCTACCACAGGCTCTGCTGGAAGTTTTTCTTTTCTAACAGTTCTGAATTTACATCGAGTGTCCCAATGATATTGTCCTCTGCACTTTGGACAGATAGTTGCAGGTTTTGCTGGATGGACAGTTAGTGGCTCCGTTAAGGTTATCGGGGTGGGAGTCAGGCCACCATCTTTTCCCTGCTCGGAACCTGATTCTGAAACAGTGCCTGGAGCCAGTTCCATCGTGCTTGTCTTAAGTTTAAGGTTACTAAGACCATGTCTCATACAGATCTACAGAAGGAATGTAAATACTGGAATCTAGCGTGCAACAAACAGTTTCTTATACATTTGTGATTCTTTTGAGTAAGTTTGTCCTGTAGTTAGACAGCTGATATAATCAATATATCTCTTCTTTTTGCTTTTTTCAGGGGAAGGGGTTTCTCTCAGGCCTGTTTATAACTGGCCCTAGACAATAAGGGAGCTTCAGTGCCCCACTCTTCACACCCGACGAAGCCAGTATCAGTACACTCCAGTGATGACTACTGACCTGTACTAGTGCACTTCTCCCCCTAAGTGGGCACACATGAGAAGTGTGCCCTTGCTCGCAGTCCCTTACCCCATCTGTGTTCTGGTGCCATATGCAGTGACCCAGTGCTGCTCCTAAGTTCTTGGGGTTAAGGACAATGAGAGGATGAGAAAAATAAAGACAAAGCTGGGGTCAGGTGGAGCCCTTTTCCTCCTGATGGGAGGAAGGAACTGTTCAACCCCTGCAGCACCTGTATTTATATACTGGGGAAGATGATGGCAATTTCAGCCCTCTGCCTAGCAACCCATTGCTTGGCAGGCCTGGGCCCCTTGCCTGCTTGGTGCAGGAACAACTTGTTTCCATAGCTTGTTTTGGTCTTTCTGTTTTTTTCTGGGCTGGCCTTGCTTTAGCCCCACACATGTGATCAATATCCAGATTCAACGGCTCTCTACACTTTCCCAACAAAAACATTCAATGATTCAGGTACAGAGGGAAACACCCTTAATATAGTAAAATCCACCAATGAAAAGTCTCGGCTACAATCACTCGATGGTGAGAGACAGAGAACTTTGACCCTCAGAGTGGAACACAAGGTTGTCCACACTTACTACCTGTATTTAATGAAGTTTAGAAAGTCAATCAAGACCAATTAGGCAAGAAAAAAAATAAATGTGCTTAATATAAAAATAAGTCAAACTGTATTTTCCCACAGGTTGTTCTGAGTATGTTTTTTAAAAATTGTATATTCTATACACAAAAATGAGAAATGATGAATCTAGCAAGCTTCCAAGACTGAAAATCATTTCTACAAATTAACAATGAGAAATGCAAAAAGAAACAAGATATCGATTCTATTTATAAAGGGGTGAGACATAAAGCAAAATTACTTGGAAGAAGCCTATCCAAGGAGGTGAAAGTATTGTACAGTGAAACGAAGTAGATAACATTGCTGAAAAAATTAAAGAACACACAGATAAACGGAAAGATGCCTCATATTCTTGAATTGCATAAACTAATATATTAAGATGTCAAATCTCCCCAAAACTATCTACAGTTTAATGTACCATCATCCCTATCAAAATCCCTATGACATTTTTGTCAGATTGAAAAACTGATCCAGAATTAAGAAGGCATTTAAAAAACCTACAAAGCAAAATTTGGAAGACTCACACTTCCTAAATTAAAACATAATACAAAGCTACTAAAATTGAACCAGCAAATAGTGGTATAAAGATAGGCAGCTGACTAATGGAACACACTGGAGGAAGCCCAGAAATACACCCTGCAGCCCACAGTTCAGTGACTTGGAGGAGGGAGAGAGGAAGAAGAGAGCTGAACGTGTCCTGGTCCGAGGCTGAGCACGCTACAAGCCGTGGGGCTGAATCAGCCAGTGCAGAAACCGGCAGTGCCCAGGAGCAAGAGCCAGCGTCTGTGTTTGCCAGGGGAAGGTGAGGGCAGTCAGGTGACTCAGGAGGGCAAGAGGGAGAGTGAGCATGGAATTCAAGGGGGGAGATGAATGCATGAGACAGGCATGGAAGGCAATGGACACAGAGGTAGTCAGGACTTCCACAGAGGACACTAGGATAGGCGTGGGCTGGCCTCAGGCGTCTGGGAGACCCAAGCCCTTCCATAACTGCAGTGGGCAGGACTTCTCTGATGTCCCGTTTCCTCCGAGGTCACAGCAAAGGCAGGACAGAGACTGTCCATAGATGTCATGCTGACACAC